TACAACATAATCGTGAAGGAGGAGAAGGTAGGAAATGACAAGGAGAAGAAAGAGAAATTTGAAAAGTTGATGGAAGAACTAAACAATGCAAAAGGGATTATAGAAGAAATACAAGAAATAGGATACGGAGACAATAAAATGAGATTGTTGAGATGCAAAAACTGGGAAGCAAAAAGAGACATTATAATTAGAGACATTATAAAGAAAAAGAAGGAGCTAGGAAGGAAATATGGAAGCTTTCTGGATGATGATCTCACCAGAGAGGAAAGACAGATACAAATGGAAATAAGAAAGATAGCAAGGGAGAAGAGAGAGAAAGGAAAAAGAGTTACAATTAGCTATCAAAAGATATGGGAGGACAACAAGGAATGGAGATAGAACGAGAGCAAAGGAAGATTAGAGGAGAGGGAGGACTTTCATAAAGCATAAAGAAGAGAACGAAGACAAAGAATGCGGGGAGGAAGGAGAAAGAATAAGGGAAGAGGGAGAGAAAGCCGCAGGAGGAGACTATAGAGAGGAGGAGGACGAAGATATAGAGGGAGAGGAAGGAGAAAGCAGGAGGAGGGAGGAGACTAAGGTGGTCTTCTGGAACGTAGCGGGTATAACCAATAAAGATAGGGACTTTTGGGATAAAATAAAGAAGTGGGACGTGATTGTTATGATGGAGACATGGATGGATGAGAAAAGATGGGAGAAGATGAAAGAAAAGTTACCAAAAAAATTTAGATGGAGAGTACAGATAGCAACCAGAAAGAACAGGAAAGGTAGAGCGTGCGGAGGCATGTTATTAGGAATAAGGAAAAGTGTAGAAGAGGTAAAGGAAGGAAGGGGGATGGTAGAGGAAGAAGGAAGAATAGAAGGTAAGATAAGAATAGAAGAGAAAATATGGAGAATAATAGGAATCTATGTAAACAACGATATAAACAAAAAGTTAGAAGGCTTGAAGGAGTGGACGGAGGAGGGGGAAACAGGAGTAAGGACCATAATAGGTGGTGACTTTAACGCGAGAATGGGAGAGGAAGGAGGATGGGAAGAGGAATTCGGGGGAATAGGGGAAGAAAGAGGAAGAAAATCTAAAGACAAGAAGGTTGTGACATTGCACCGGGTGCCCGTCACTTGGATTGGACACGAACCCCCCCTCGAACCTTTATACGGCGCGCGTACCCGCTTGTCGTCGAGTTATCATGTTTTTCGTTTAGCTATTAGTTACAGGAGGAAGCGGTCGGGCGGTCCGATTAGGCCGGGTGGCGCCATCCGCCGGCGCGGCGAAGCGCCTCAAAATTGTAGGAAGCCGCGAAGCGGGTCCGCCACGATCGTCACTGTTGGGCCGAGCGTGCGTGGACGTCCGGCGAGGAGTCCTGAGGGTGTATTAAGCGAGGGCGGCGGCCCTACAAGCCCATCGCGGAGGAAGGATCGAGGACCACGAGAGTGTTGTAAACGACCTGCAATCCCAAAAGTAAGGTAACGGGGGCCAGCGGGGCGGAACGTCAAGTACCGTTTCACGTATCGTATTTGGAGATGTGCGTAGGATCGCTTCCCGACCTACGCACTAATGTCGTGAATCCCTCGGGATTAGTGCTTCGGTCATTTTTACGGGTCTGACATATCCCGCCCGCTGCTACCCCGTGAATAGAGTAAAAAGGGGGTCCTTTTCCGCTCGACTCGACAATCCGGTGTATGATTGCGTGTGATAGCGTGTCGGCGTACGACGTGGCGGCCTTGCCACGCGTCACGATCCTTGCGAGTGTTATGCGATTATGCGGATCGGCTCAACAGTCACCCTAATATTAGTTTTCGCGCTTCCGTTAATCCGAGTGTTCATTTTCGCGTTTCCGGTAGTCTTAGTGTTTCGTTAATCGTAAGTCTCGCGTCCACGGTGGCGTGAATCTCGTCCGTGCGTTTATTCTGGGGCGTATCGGCACGTAGACCCGTTAATTACCGCGCCCGGTGCTTCGAGTGTGAGGCGGCGGAGTAACGAGTCGGGGGCGTGCATTTCAGATTATTCCATTTACAGTTTCGCGTTTTCGTTAGTCTTACAGTTGCGTTCCTTCGGGTGGAGATATCACGCGCCCCGCAGTGTATCGTGCGGAAGTATCACGCGCTCGCGGAGTGGACCGAGGAGCGAGAAGAATCGTACCCATTATATTGCGTGTACTCTTTCGTTAGTTGCGATTGCGTGTATCCTTGCAAGTTGTAACGCAATTATCAAGCTTTCTCTTATATTATATTTTGATTTACATGCTACTTGAGTGCTTTCTTTTGTGTTTGTCTTCGCCTCACCACGGTCAAACCCCTCCGCCTTTGGCCTAGGTAAGAACCACGACTGTACACGCTCCAGTAAGAACGTAAAATCGTACTGGTTATTAAGAAAACTCAACTAATGTAATTCGTTTGAAAAGTAACCGTTCGATATATTGATTGAATACAATTTTTAGAACTTTTGAGAGTATAACGCGGTATTAATATAAATCACATATGAATTAAATACATAATTTCAATATCAAGAAACTCAATTATTAATAGTCCGTTCATTTTAATAAATATACATTTTTTGCTGGAGATATTTCTTTTATAAATTCCAATATAATAATTACGCAAGACCAATTTCACTTAAACAAATTAGAAGCACTGAGAATCATTAAATATTTTTAACGCATAAGAGAAAAACCTTGAAGAACAAATTATATTTGTGAAAGGATCATTAATGCAAAACATTTCAAAATAGAACATAATATAAGTATAAATTCAAAATCTAATTAATATATATAGAAGAAATGGAATAATGCATGAATTAATTTGGTATCTTACTAATGAAGAAAATAGATTTCTGAGAAATCAATATTAAATAAAATAAGTGGTTCTTAACCAATAAATATACCCTTTTTTTCTTTTGTAATTCAATGCATTAATCCATAATAAACATGAAATATATTCATATAGATATCATCAATCGTGCATAACATGGTTTAACCATTGGATAATGTTTCTGAAATAATTATTCGTTTCGAAATGAACTTAGAGATATTCAACTTACGATAAAGAAAGAATATACTGACTATTGAATCGCAATAGAGTACATTAAACAATGTGAACATATACTATTTTACGAAATATTAACTTTACAGTTTCGATGAGTTAATTCTCAATTAATATCTTAACGAATCCTTACAATCTTTGTACAACATACGTAATTTTACAATAAAAAGAAGCGAATATACTAAATACGCGTGGTTGCAACCAAATTCTTTTTATACTTGATTACTCAAGTGAAATGAGAAGAATTTTCCTTGTCTTAAACAGTGGCCACTGATTGAGAGATAATATTGGATTGAATGCCTTGCCGAAATGCAAGAGTGGTTGTTATAAATTCCAAATCCAATACGAAAGAAAGCTCTCGAATATTCTGGAACCAAAGATAGTCATTAGCTAACGTTTGTAACGACTGTATCAGTGGTCCCTTTACGAATAACGAGAGTTACCTGTGCGAGCTTTCACTTTACGTGAAAGTGACTCCAAAGAGGAGGAATACCGCCCTTCGGGTGAAAAGTAGGAAATATATTTCCATCGAATGTATTCTCCAATCGTCCTTTCTTCTTTAGTAATGGCGGATGCCTTTTCCTTATATCTGGCAATGGCAGATAATTTTCCAGTGTCGGTAGTCGCCTTTCCTTACGTCGTGCTGCCGTATTTAATATATTCGTCGTTGTAATTACGATTGAATATAACTTGAAACAAATGATTTAACAATTCAATATCCTTTTTACAAAGAATAGTAGAAACGGGTAAAATACACGACACGACTCGAAACGCGCGACTTTTGTGGACGAAAGATGTGGATATAATGAAGATCGTGAACGGAAGATATTGATACAATGACGATCGTTGCTACGCAAGCTCGATACTTCCGTAACGAACGCGGAAGTCAGGTATCGCAGCGCCATACGGACGCGGAAACCAAGTATTGCAGCGCCTTTGCGTGCGAAACATACGCACTACCAATGTCACTAGACCCATGTATGAGTCTCTATAGAGTGTTTACGTAGAGTGTTTACGGAATCAGTTGCTTACTGGCGAATATCATAGATGGCAACACGCCATTTTTCATTCGTCGATAAATCGCTGTGTTTTCAACAACGACCCTCTACCGAAAATCCTGAGCAGTCGTTGCGATCGGCCAGAGCGGGTGTATCTTGACATATGAATTAAGAGTTATATCAATAATTAAAGTTTATGTCGGATCTATGTAGAGTTCATGTAGAGTACTTTTCGCGGGTTAGAGTAAACGGTGGTGTGGCCGTATCCACACCTGGCGCCCAAAGTAGTTTCGTATCGCTTTCGAGATCCGCTCTGCCACCCGATCAGAGATTTGCTACGCGATTCAGTCCCGCCTCACGGCCCGGGGAAAATAATACAGAGAATTAGCGTCGCAAGGTAAATAAGGATGGCAGGAAACTACTGGAATTTATCGAGGAAAGAGGATGGATGATATTTAACGAAGGCATGAAGGGAAATGAGGAGGGAGAATTTACATACACAGGAGGGAAAAGTGAGACAGTTATAGACTACGTAATAGGGAATGAGGAGGTCAGAGGAAAAGTAGAAAGACTGGAAGTAGAAGAAAGGATAGACTCAGACCATCACCCATTAATACTCTGGGTGAGAAATAGCCTAAAGGGAAAGCAAAGAAGGAGAGAAGCAGAAAGAATAAGAAGAAGAGGAATATGGAGCGAAGAGGGAAGAACGCAATTTAGGGAGAGACTAGGTATGATTGGAGGAAAAAGAAATCTGCAAGAGAAGATAGAGGAAGGAACGTCAAAGATAAGAAGAGTAATAGAGGAGAATGAAAAAGAGAATGAAAGAGGGGCTAACAAGAACAGAAGAGGGTGGTGGAATGAGGAATGCAGGGAGAGAAAAAGGGGGTGAGGAGAGAACTAAGGAAATAGAAAAAAGGAAAAGGAGAGGCGGAAAGATATAGAGAAGGAAATAAGGAGTATAGGGAAATGTGCGAAAGAAAGAAGAAGGAGGAGAAAGAAAGGATGATTAGAGAGATAGGAGAAGCGAGAACGGAAAGAAAGGTATGGGAATTGATAGGCAGAGTGAGGAAGAGAAGGAAGAGGATAAACGAAGAGATAAAACCGGAGGAGTGGAAGGAATACTTCATGGAATTCATGGGTGGAGTGGAGAACAGAGTGGTGAAAGGGAAAGGAGGAGGGGGCAGACAAGAAGAGGAAGGGATAGAACTGGAGGAGGTAAGAATGACAATAAGGAAAATGAAAACAGGAAAAGCAATAAGCAATGACGGGATACCGAACAAGGCGTGGAAATTCGGAGAAGAAGAAATGGTGAAATGGATATGGGAAATATGTAAACGGGTATGGAAGGGGGGAGGCTGGCCGGAGCAATGGAAGGAAGGTGAGATAATCCCAATAGTAAAAAAGGAGAAGGGAGAGAGGTGAAGGACTACAGAGGGATAACTATCATGCCTTCGATGTACAAAATTTACACGGCGATATTAGCGGAAAAGATAAGAAAGGAGGTAGAAATGAAAAAATTGATTCCCGATAACCAAGCAGGATTTAGAAAAGGAATGGGGATAATGGATCAAATATTCGCTTTAAATTATCTGGTGAATAGACAACTAGGAAAAGAGAAAGGAAAGATGACGGTACTATTTGTGGATTTAAAGGCGGCATTTGACTCAATGAATAAAAAAGTATTAAACAAGACAATGAGAGAGAGAGAAGTGAGACAAGGACTGATAAACAGGGTAGAGGAGGTATTGAGAGAAACAAAGAGCAGAGTGGGAAAGAGTGGAGAGAGTGGAGGACAATTTTGGACGGCGAAGGGCTTGAGACAAGGATGCCCGCTAAGCCCAATATTGTTCAATTTATTAACCCCTTCGTTGGCAGAGAGAATTCGACAAAAAGTGCCAAAAATGGCAGGAAAATTTTTTATCCTGAAAATTTGTACCCTGGGGTTTTTGAGGGCCCCTGATTACGAATCTGAACTTAAAATTCGAAAATTCAACATGGCAAATTTTATCCCAATTAAGTAATTTTTTGCATTTTTATCCGCCATTTTGAATTTGCAAATTTTGAATTCAGATTTGTAATCAGCGACCCCAAAAACTCCCGTGTAAGACTTGGATGCCAAATCGAAGCAAGTAGGAAATAAAGGAAAGTTATAGGAAAAAAAAGTTGACGCACTTTTGCGTCAATGCCACACAGGGCACGGAAAAATTTGACGCACTTTTGCGTCAATGCCAACGAAGGGGTTAATAGCAGACATAGACGATTACATGAAGAAAGACGGTTGGGGAGGCATGAGATTAAGAGGCGAGAAGGTATACACGCTAATGTATGCAGATGATATAGCACTGTTGGCGGAGGAGGAACAGGACATGAGGTCAATGATAAGCAGGTTAGAGGGATATCTAGACGGAAAAGGTTTAACACTGAGTATAGAGAAGACAAAGATAATGAGGTTTAGAAAGGAAGGAGGAAGGAAGAAGAAATATGACTGGAGATGGAAGGGAAGGAAGTTAGAGGAGGTCAATGAATTCAAATACCTGGGGTATACGTTGAAGAAGAATGAAGGACAGGAAGCGCATATTAGAGAGAAAAGAAAAAAGGCAGCAAGAGTAATGAGAGAAGTGTGAGGGATAGGGAAGAGGATGTGAAAAAAGGACTGCAAAAGAAAAATCTGGCTGTATGATACCCTGATATAGACGGTGATGGGATACGGGGCAGAAATATGGGAATGGAAGGAAAGGAGGGAGGTAGAAGGTATTCATGAAAGATACCTCAGATGGGTACTTGGAGTAAACTGGAGGACGCCAGGATATATGGTTAGAGATGAACTAGAAAGGGAAAAGATGAGAGCTAGAGCAAGTAAGAGAGCATGGAAGTTTGAAAGAAAACTGGAAGAAGGTAGAGGAGGTGAAATAGCAAGAAAATGTTTGGAAGAAATGAAAGAGAGATGGAAGAGGGGAAAGATAATAGGAAGATGGGAGCAGGAGAGAAAGGGCTATCTGGAAGGGATTGGGGTAGAAGTGGAAGAGGAAGAGGAGGTATTGGAGAGAAAAGAGAAATGGAAGGAGAAACAAGAAAGAATGGAAAAAATCAGGGAATCGAATTACAATAAATGGTATAAGAGTATAAGGAAGGACGGGATTCCGGACTATCTAAAAAAGAGATGGGAGGAAGCAAGATGGAGCAGGGTTGCAAGATTTAGACTTGGTAACGAAGTGAGGGAGGGACTATACTGGGGAAATGAAGAGAATAAAAAATGCAGGATATGTGAGAGGGAAGAGGAAACATGGAAACATATATGGGAGAAATGTACGAGATGGGAGGAATGGGAAGGAGAGGGGTGGCAGAATGTGGTGGAGAGATTACTGGAAGAAAAGGGAGAGGGAAAAGAATGGATGAAAGCAATAGAGGAAATGAGACAAGTTGGAGGAAGGAGGAAAATGGGAAAGGAAGAAGGATGATCCAACAATTCAACGAAAGAGGACCAAGGAGGACGAGACAGCGAAAAGGATTGAAGAGGAATATGTCTATAACAAATTATATGTACAGTGTATATTTAATTGTATGTAAATTATTGTAAATTGGATGTACAGGGTTGGGTACGACCCTACAAAACGCCCTTTTAGACCCCTTGGGGTAATAAAGTATCTTTTTTATCTAAGTTAAATGATTTGGGATTTTTTTATTAATGTTAACCAGTAGAAAAGCATATATTTAAAAAAAAAGAAAAATGTATATTTATTGGTATAAATTTGCGTAATTAAAAAAATTAATGAAAAAAAAAGAGAGAGAGAGAGAGAGAGAGAGAGAAAGATATTGTGGCGGTCAGCTGTCCGCCACGAACGCACGACGGTACGCGCGCGACGCCGGCAGTATGACGGGAGGCGCGCGGCGCAAGCGGCGGCACGGTATCGATCGGCCGGGCAGTTCAACGCGTGCCCGCTACCCGGCGCATCGCCGGCCGATTCTCTCGTAAGAAAGATTCGACATCGACCTCTATATAAGGGGCAACCCAGCGGGGTTTCTCCAGCTATCAGCTCACCAGTCAGGGTGTGCTACTACCGGGGCCCCTGACATAATTTTTTTTGGAGACGGAGCGTGCTCTCAGGGCCTCCGTTCATTACGGAGCGTGCTCATTCCGGGCCTTCGTTTACACCTGCTTTGCAGGACATTAACTTTCCTCGGTAAGAGTCGACAGACTCCCTGCCGTGGAAAGGTTTCCTGGGTCGTTTACGATCCAGCGCACCGGACAACACCGAGACCAAGGCGCTACCTTCTTCAGCTCACCGGACAACACCGAGACCAAGGCGCTGTCTTCTCCGACTCACCGGACAACACCGAGATCAAGGCGCTGCCTTCTCCAGCTCACCGGACAACACCGAGATCAAGGCGCTGCCTTCTCCAGCTCGCCGGACAACACCGAGACCAAGGCGCTGCCTTCTCCAACTCCGATTCCGACTCCGATTCCTGCATCTGGGGCCACGACGAAGGGTCTGTTCCTGATCTCTAAGGTGGATACTTTCCTTCCGTGAAAGCCACACCTCATCGACCGGCCAATCCGAGTACCACGCATCTAGCTCCAACCGGAGCACTCTGTAGTGACGCACTCACTGGCCTCGTCTACAAGAACTTCAAGACTCCTCTCCAAGCTCGGCCTCCGCGAATCTAACTATCGGGACGGATAATACGCAACACACCGCGTTAACACTACTCATTAATCTTCTACACAAATCACACACGTCCACCTATCCGTACACATCCAAGAATAGTTATTTGTGTAACAAGTGAGGTAAGATGAAAATTCCCGGGTGCGGAATTTACGCACGAGCCGAAGGCGAGTGCGGTAACCGCACCTGGGAATTTTTATCTTTACACACGACTTACACTGCCTATTTTATGTTGCAAGTGCCTGGAAAGTGGTCTATCACGCACGCGTAGCGTGCGTAATGGGGCACTTTCCATGCACGTGTTGCATAAATAATTTACCTGTACATAGAACATGAATAAACCTAGCGAGATTCTACCTAATTGAACGACTGGTTATTGTGGGAACCGACGCACCTTCACCTGATATCCTACCCCACAGATATATATATTTAATTTAATCAAATCATAAATTATTATCTGCTTTATTTAAAGCAGTGAAACGCTGATATATAGATAATTAATTCGTGATATATGATTATATATAATTATGCAGGCGATTAAAATATATATAAATGGTTCATATACAATTTGACATGATTATATATGAGTTCAAATTATTTATATATAAATTATATATATGAACCACTTATCCATGTAAATTATATATGATTATTATAAAAAAGTTGCTGATATTATTAAATGCATATTGTTTACAGTTTACAAAAGTTGCTGATATTATTAAATGCGTGTTTACAGTTTTATTGTGATATTAAGAAAAACGGGAAACGAATTTAAAAAAAAAAAGTGTGCTGCACTCTTTATCAAACATCGTGCACACTTTCCTCAAGCATTTTCCTAGTTTTTAGAGTTCCTTCACGGATTATTAAAAACTTAACTTTCTTGCAAACATTCTGCGCTTCCTTTATTGAGTATCCTGCGAGCATTTTGTGCATCCTTCATCGAGTATTTTCCAAAAACTAAAACTCATAATTGTTTGGTCCTAAACGTAAGTTTCTTAAAATTATAAATTATCTCTGCGAGTCTTCGGTTTCCTTTTTCATTCGAAGTGACGATAAACAACGTAAAACTTTTATTATATATATAGTATATAGGGTATAAATTTTATACTAACGCGATAAAAATTTAAAAAAAAATTTTTTTTGGAAACATTTCACGAGTTAGTTAAGAGTGAAACTTAAAAATGCCGAGAAAATCGAGAGAAAATTACTTTAAGAACCGACAAAAGTTAAAGAAACAGCTTGAGAAGAACGAGAGTAATCTGAAAAGGTCTGCTAAGTCATCAACTGAAAGATCACGCAAATATAGGAAACGTCAAAAGTCTGTTCGCCAAGATGCATTTCAGCAGAGTTCGACTCTACAGGATATTGATATTTGTAGTTCGACTTTAGAGCCAATACCTTCCACTTCTAATGCACAAATTGAGCATGATCAGCAAGAACAGATAGAGAATGATATTTCGAATTTGCACAATATTTTACATAAAAATTTAGAAATGCAGTTGCATAAGAAGAACGTGGGTAATCAGAATAAATGCGCAAAGTCATTAACTGAAAGATCGAGGAAATTTTGTAAACGTCAAAAGTCTGTGCACAAAGATGCGTTTTAATTCAGTACGACTCTAGAGGAAATTGATATATTTAGTTCGAATTTAGAGCCACAACCTTCTACTTCAAATGTTCAAATTGAGTCTAATCACCAAGAACAGATGGAGATTGATGTCATTAATTCACAAGAGTATATTAAATTATATCAAGGCAACTATAATAAATTTGAAAAATTGTTTGTGAGGAACGATTTTGGACACGTATGTGATGTGTGTGACCAGATATGGTATAAACAAGATTTATCTAAAGTTCAACAGAGACATATAGATATTCTAGAACAAGACTTCACTGAGGAGCGTGATCGTGTAAAAGACTTTAAAATTTGTTCAATATGTAGACAATCATTGTCATCTGGGAAAATTCCTCCGCTGAGTAAATCAAATGACTACAAATATCCAGACCATCCGCCGAATTTGCTGCCGTTGGATCCAATTACAGAGCGTCTCATATCTCCAAGACTACCGTTTATGCAAATACGTCGACTACGGTACGAAACCGGTACCTACAAAATAATAGGACAAGTTATAAACGTTCTGGTAGAAGTCGACAACATGGTTAAGCACAACGTGGTAATGCTCTCTGCAGCGGCGTGAACTTTGAAAGTTGAATGCAATCCCTCCTTTACTCTCAATCGTAAAATTTTTACAGCCATATAAAGGATATGCTGTGGAGTCACACCGCGTCTGTCTCTTCGTCTAATTTCGCTATTGGCCATGCTGAACGGTGTAGCTCTAATACCCTCTTTATAGATTCTTGGATGACCGTAATATATTGCAGGGAATGATAATTCTTCTGCATATATATCGTAAATGACGCTCAAAGGCATTTTTTTTTGACCGGGTGCAATGTCTAAGTATTTACTTTCGATCCATAGCATTGTGTGTTGATGTCCCAACAACAATTCTTTATCATTATCACTATAGATCATTTTTAATGTGTCGTCATCTGTCCCGCTGTCACATGCTCTACTCGTACTAGGTCGCTGTCCATTATCGATATTGTTCATATCTCGTTCATTATAACAAATTTTGTATTGTTTATACAAAGGTGTTGTTACCATGTAACAAAGCCATTCTTTAACAACTCGTTTCTTCACTTGTCCACTCAAATACGACGATTTATGTATATGTTTTTTTATATTAACATTAACTACGTAATCATCGTCAAGTTGTCGTGGTAACCCAGTACAAACGTAAAGATGTGAGAGCATCGATGGCCAAGACGATGGCAACGCCTCACAGACTGATGAGAGATGATGGTGAAAATGAATTACGATTTGCGGATGCAGACAAATACGGAGACATATGCGCAGTGGAGGCGAAAATTGACAATAAAAAATGTTTATTGATGTCTGTTTACATAAATCCAAATACCTCAATGGAGAACATAAAAGATTTCATTTCACGCAATTTACTTGCTTATTGCCCCAATGATTGTAAATTAGATTCAATATTAGAAAAGAAAGATTACAATGATACACCCATCATACTAGCTGGTGATTTTAATTTGGACGTGTCCAAGCGCGATAACAAAAAGTTCTTAGAGTTTATGCGCAACAACTTTGGATTGCATTTCTTATCAAACAAATCATCTACAACAATGGGAGGATCTTGCATTGACATGGTATTCACGAGACATGTCGATAACTTAAGTTGCTACAGATATATTTCTTACTTTTCTTATCACAAACCAATACTAGCAATAACTACTCAAAACGATGATAATACGCATTCAAGTTCTACTAGTATTAACCCTAGAACTCATACGTGGGGTCGATTTCGACCCCAGGCGAACTTTGAACTACGCTCCTGAGCTAGCGAGTGACATTATCGACTCAGGACCTGAACCATAATTCATTTCAACTGTCTAAAAGTAGGGCTACGTCGGACGCAGCGTTAGTTGTTCGCTAGCAGTGAGGCAGCACCGTCGCAAAGCGTGCATGGGGTCGATATTGACCCCACGTGTGAGTTACCGTTTGGGTTTCGTCGGTAAGTTCTTTTATATTTTTTGCTAGAATCAATATATTTCATGTATTATTACGTACTCTGAGCATAAATATTCATAAATATTACTTAAGACAAAATATCACACAACTTAGTCGGTAAAAATCCCGTTGCCTATAGAAGGTTAACATTTTGCAGAAAATGGCTAGGCGATATAATTTGAGACCCATATCATATTTTTTACTATTTTGTATCAAATAAAAATAAAATAATACTTAAAATACAATTTTTTATGGTTTTTTCATCAACTTTTTCCATATTTCAACTTTGCAAATTTCTTCATTTTTATAGTCCCAAAGAAATATACTTTTTAAATAGAACATAGCGATGACAATTTTTTTCTAATAGTCTAATGTGTCCTCTTTAAAACCCCGTTTGAATTTTGAAAATCGGTTGATTACAAAAAAAGATACAAATTTTTGTTTAAAGAAAGAGGTTTTTGCTAATTTTCTGCATTTTTCGGCCTTTAAATCGATTTTTCACTAACTAAACTTGAGTAAAATTAAATTCATTGCATACCATTCTCTTCTCTTTATTAAAAAACGAAGAAATTCATGTACTATTAAAACCCTTTATCTTTGTAGGACGGTTTTACAATAAAAAAAAGCGTGGGATCGATATTGACCCCACGTGTGAGTTAAAAGGTAAAAAAAATGACGTGTGAGTTCTAGGGTTAATTTAGAATTAGCATTAATATGAGTTTAAAATACTATGTTTGAAAAATGTTCAAAGAATAATTTGGAAACGCATTTTTATGGTAAACCTTCGTGGTTCAAAGGCATGCCTTCATGACGAGTCCTTGTGAATCATTGGCGAAATTATAAAAAAAATTATTATTAAACCAAATGCTTCTTTTTGTTTTTAGTTTCCCATTAGCAACGTAAGTACAATTAATAAAAATGTAAATTAACAAATACAAGAATTTTTGAAATACCTAACCGTTTTTCTTCTCTCGATTGCAATGTTAACTATGAATCGGCTATAACGTGAGAAGCTCCATCGAATTTTGACATCAAGAATCTTTGATTGTCCTGTGAGTTTGGACAACGAGTATCCTGCGAGAATTCTATAAGTTTCCTTCTTCGAGCATCATACGCGTTTTTCCATACTTTCTGCGAGTATCCTACGCTTTCTGCCATTGATCTTCTTCGAGCATCTTGCGGTTCATGTCCGTTTACTCTAAGCATCGAGTACTTGCAACAGATTGGCGATATTTGCAACACATTGGGGAAGACTGGATTATCGCAATGATTTCCTCTGTCTTTAGTCTCCCTTTGCAACGTAAGTAAAATCAATGTAGACGAAAATTAAAAAATATAACAATTTTTGAAGTTTCAAAAAATTGGTTTTCAGATAATGATTGATATGTTAACTTTGAGTCGATTATAACAAGATCAAACCTGCAATTAAAAACATCATAAAGTGTATGACGACAAACGACTATGTCCTCACGGTCTCGCCAGCCGTGGAGGAGCGCGCCGTCGCTGGTTCTTACTATTTGATCTCCTTAAGTACTTTCAAAATCGCGATCAGACCCTCAGAAACCCAGATGGTAACTCGACCAAAGAATTCCTCAAAGTGTGGGCGCCAGGTGCGATTCCTCGCACCACGATACACAAAACGTAATTCTCTCAGGCGTGAGTCTAATCGAGGAATCGTAGTTGGAAGCAGAAAGAGAGCGTAGCGCAATTAACACATCCGATTAACAATAAACAGAAAAATATATTTAAGTAATGCAGATAACATGTGGAAAGGGGTAGGCGAATTTCACGGCGAACAAGCAGAATCCGAGTAAGCGTCACGTGTCACCCCACGAGCGCGATACTCATTCCGTCGCCGAATTGCACAGCAATTCCAATCCGTTTCGTACATTAATAATTCCCAACATAAACCGTAACAAATCCTACCATGTCAATCAAATGCGAGATAACCGAGCATATTTACTCCCGACGAACGCACAAAGTTACGCACTTACAACTAACGCCAATTACTTACAAATAACGCGACAGGATTAATACCGACGAACACGAGAACATCTACTTACAATTAACGCGAAAGTAACCGTGAACGATGGATCGTGACGCACTTGCACACGCGAGAGCGACTTCCCGAAGTAACCGCGGATCGCTCGATCACGCGAGTCCCGAGTGACCACGAATCTCCCGATTCTGCGAGTCCCGAATGACCGACCGCGAATCCTCTGATCCCGCGAGTCCGAATGACCGCGAATCTCCCGATTACGCGAGTCCCGAAAGAACGCAAAACTTAAAGGCGCCCGGCGCCACGGCGTGATCGCGTGATGCTCACGAAGAGCTCACGTCGATACTCCTGATTCTTACAACGCAACAATATTCACAACGCGAATCTTTACTCTACACTCAGACGAACGAAAACGATTATCCGGACGCAAATTACACACGCTGACTGTCGGCGACCGCCCGTCTGAATCCCCCGAGACGGGCACTTGCAAGTACTTTTCCGTCCGGGCTCTCCCGGGGTATGGTTTTCGGTATCATCCAAGTTACGGCGGATTTCATCTATTTCCGCAGCACAACGCGACTCCCGGGAGGGCTTTATTGCGACAATCTTACTTTGCGGAGGCTGAGCAAGGGCCTTACAATAGATCGCTCGATCCGGCAGCTCGTCGTTCGGCTCGCACGACAGTAATCCGTCCTCGGCCTGGCGGGACCACGCTGAGCCCGCGCGCCGGTGTCCCTAGCCCTATCAGGTGCTGCGCCCTGGCACGCTACCGATCCCTCTAGGCAATCGCCGCGCCTTCCTAGGGCGCCCCTCGCAGCTGCTTCCATCCGCCGGCGGTAGTTTTGAAATCCGCCCACGTGAGACCGGCTGTCCAGGCCACGACTCATCGCCCGGTTATTCGACGGCCAGGCTGGCCGGGCCATGGCTCGTCGACCGGTGGCGGTATCCCGGTGGTGGCCCCGTTCCTCAACGGGGACCTTCGTCGGAACGTCCCCCATTTCGGGTCCTCCGTATTCGGGCTGCAGTGCTCTAGTGCGGGCTGATCGTGTACCTTGACAGGTCCTCTGCTGTTCCGGCTGTGGGCTCCAGCGTGCCCCGCCCGTCGGCCGTCCGTCCTTGGAAGCTTCCGGCTGTCCACCTTTTTTTTTTGCATGGGGAAATCTTCTACTACTGGAATCGTCACAGTAGCAACCAGTCTGGGGTCCGATCGGGGAGCGCCCGGTTTTCCCGGGCAACCAGTCCTGGACCCCTTCGGGGAGCGCCCCTGCAACTTTCAACCAATGACCCCTCCGAAAAGGGGAAGACCCCCCTGCCCTTCTAGTGAGAGGAGCAAGGGGAGTGTGGAATTCCACGTCCGTCACGTAGGTGGCGAACGCAGCCTACCCACTAAAACCCCATGAGTACCTATCTTTGCGCCTATTGGGGGTGTCCGGGAACTTGTTATTACTACTTCCGGAGCACCCCCGACGCCAGGCCCAATGAGCCTACACCTCTGAGCCTAAGGCTCGGTGGCTCGGTGCCTTTGATCTAATAGTGGCGGGCGCAGGCACCACCCACACCGCCACTCCTCCCGATGTTGTTGGGAGTTTGGTTCGGTGTCTGTTCACCAG